ACAGATGTGATCTAATCCATTCATTGCAACAGGTTTTGTTTGCATGTTAGTGTTGTCTTTGGCCTTGTGGAATTGTTCATTTTGGGTTCTATATTCTTTTAGAAGGGCCACAGTAATCTTTTCTTGCTTTTTATGTGCCAGTTGTGGAACCCAGAGCTTGTGTATGCTAGACAACTGTTCTACCACTGAGCTATACTCTCACTGGGGGGGGGATTCTAGGCAGGGGCTCTACCACTGAGCCACACCCCAGCCCCTCACTGGGGGATTCTAGGCAGGGGCTCTACCACTATTTCTCCAAGACGTTTCATTTCTTTTATCTGGAGCTAATGTTAGCTGCATGAGCTGTCATTACAAGTGCTCACTGTCATTGGGCTAATGTTGCATTTAGCATTTTTTTCTTAGTGAAAAGAGCCTGAAGAAAGGAACATTTTTAGAAAGAGAATATACTGTCTGTTCTTACTTTCTCCTTGATTTTACACCCTGTTTTCTTGATGCTGAAAAGTCATAGTTTCCAAGGTTACTAATAGTTATTATTATTATTATTATTTATCCCAGATAATGCCAATTCAAACACAAATGAGACTTTTAGGTTAGATTTCTGTGCAGCCTCTTTCGGTCTGCAGCTCTGTGTCCCGCCTGCTAAACCTCTGCTTTAGTCACATATAACCCTGCAGGTTTATTCCTCCTGTGATACACGTTACATGTCTTGGAGCCTGCTGACCACCCTGTCCCCCTGACTCTGGTGATAGATCCTGAAACAGGAGGATCACTTGAACTTAGAAATCCAAGCTCAGCCTGGACAATATAGCCAGAGTCTCTACATAAATTGTTTTCATAGTTCCAGGTCAGAGCTGAAAGGGGGCACCCACGGAGGTCCGTTTTCTCCGTCTGGTCCCTCTCCCCTGCTCCTCCACTCCCTCCTCCTCCTGAAAGTTTTTCATGTAGTCTGTGTTTTTAAAAATATGAGCATACATAGCTAATTTATAACTCCTCCCATTTCTTTATTTTTTCTTTAAAGGAACTTGGTAAATATATTCTGCATTGTTTAAATGAGTGAAAACCAGCCCTCAATCATTCATTTTCATGGCAGCATGCCACTGTGTGTGAGCCATGGAAACTGAGTTAGTTCTGCCCGTGGACACTTGGTTACCTTCGCTTCTTGCTATTTATGAACCCCAGGAAGGAAAAACCTCGCGTACGTGGTGTTTCCTTAAGGGTCGTTAGCAGGATAGCAACCTAATCAGTTGTTTCTGTCTGGTACAGATCTGGCTGGGAAAGTCTTGGAGGTGGGGACAAGGACAGTATAGGGCTAGGCTTGCAGCAGGCATCTCGAGCCTTGGCTAGGACAGATGTGCATCCTTCCAGGAGAGGGGGGCCCTCGGGGACTGCTTCCCGTGGAGCAGTTAGAAGGGGCTCACGGTGCCCGGGTCCTCTCCCCCTTCTCAGGGTGACCCGCCTGGCGTCGGAGAAGCGCGAGCTGGAGGTGCAGCTGGGCCGCTCCCGAGAGGAGGCGCTGGCTGGGAGGGCGGCTCGCCAGGAGGCCGAGGCGCTGCGCGGGCTGGTGCGGGGCCTGGAGATGGAGCTGAGGCAGGAGCGGGGCCTCGGGGGCAGGGCCGCGGGCCGTCGCAGCCAGGACTGCCGCCGCCTGGCCAAGGAGGTGAGGGTGCGGGGCCGGGGAGGGGGCGCCGCCCCGGACCTTGGTCTGGTCTGGACTCCGACGCCCTCCGCTTCCCTCCGCAGCTCGAGGAGGTGAAGGCGTCGGAGCGCAGCCTGCGAGCGCGGCTGAAGACGCTCAACAACGAGCTGGCCACGTACCGAAGGGGGTGAGAGGCGGGGCTCGGGTGGGGCTCGGGTGGGGTTCGGGTGGGGCTTGTGGGGGAGGAGCTGGAATGGGTGGAGCCAGGTAACTGGGGAGGTGGGCGGGGCTGGTGGAGAATTAGGCTGGGCCTGGAGGAAGGTTTGGGTGTGGGGTGGAGCCGCAGGGACCGTGGATCTCCCCGCGGGAGGAACCTGGGAGGAATCTGCGGGCCTTGATTGGCGAGGGAGCTCTAGAAGGCAGACCTCGCCAAGAAGGACCTGGCGAAGGTGATGGGAAGCAGGGGAGCGGCCCCTGGAAAAGGCCTTGAGAAGGTGCCGTGAGCCCCGTGCCAGTGTTTGGGGAGATGCGATAGAAAGGTGGTGCAGGGCCGGTGCGTGTGGCCCCAGAGAGGGGGTGGGCTGGCGAGTGGGGGCTGACAGCGGACCCGGTGCGCCCAGGAGACGCACCCTACTGCCGCCGGTTCCAGCCCGGGACGAGCGAGCCTCATCGTCCCGGGAGCGCTCCACGTCTCGCGGCCGGGCGGTCACTCGGTCGTCGTCGCGGGAGAGCGGCCGTGGGGCCAGGGGTCGCGGCCGGCCGGCACACCCCTCGCCCTCGCCCACAGGTCTGTGGCTGCCCCGGCCTGCGGTGGGGAGGCGGGAGGGGCCAGCGCCGGGGTGCGAGCCAGCCCCTCCCCACGCTGCCTAGGTGGTCGTGCGCCCCGTTTCGACCCCACAGCCTTTGTGAAAGCCAAGGAGAAGAAGCAGAGAGAGATTAGGATGAAGTAAGTCAGGGCCCGCTGCTTACCCCACATCCTCCTCCCACCCCTCACCAACCCGCAGCTAAGCCCTGCCTCACCTTAACACGCCTGCGCTCCCGCTTCTCTCCCCGCCCCACCTCCTGCCCTCCGCTGCGGTGCTGCTCTACCCTCTAGGGTCTCCTCGGCTCCGATCTCCTCCCGTGTCCCCCCTCCCCTCCCCTGCACCCCCTGCACACTCAACCCCCCCCTCGCGGCCCGCCCCCTCCTGACCTGGTTCTGCCGCTCTGCTAAGCCCTCGCTCAGGTGCACAGCTTGTTCCTCCCACCCTCGCCGGTCTGTCGGCACCCCTCGGGACCTCTGGGGGGCCACAGGCTGTGGCTGTGGCTGTGGCTGTGGCCTGTTCCCTTCCCGCCTTTAGTTGGCGCTCACCTCCAGTCTCCGCTTTCCCAGGCAGCAGCAGCAGCGGAACCGAATGGGCAGTGGAGGAAGCGGGGACGGCCCGTCCGTCTCATGGTCTTACCAGACTCGGCCCGCCACTACTGTGACAGGCCGAGGGGACGCCGCCAACCGCTCGCGGAACCGCAGCTCCTCGGGTAACGGGCTGGGAGAGGCAGGCAGGCAGGCAGGCAGCGGCGCTGCAGGGGCTGGGCGGGCCACCTGCAGCCTAACGCCCTCCGTCTCCCCCTAGTGGACAGTTTCCGCAGCCGCTGCTCGTCGGCCAGCTCCTGCAGCGAGTTGGATTTTTCAGAGTCCCTTTCCAGGAGGTAAAACTTGTACTCTGGGGAAGGACCCTCTGGAAAGGGCGCCTGGGGGAGAGCGGGAACAGTCTTTTACACGGGAATTAGGTGACGGGAGGCTGGAGGTCTTAAAACCACGAAGGTGGGTCAGGAGGGAGGTGACAGAGATGTCCTCTGGTCCTTGATCGATTGCTTGATTGATTTTTCAGTCGTCGCTGCCGTGGCCGTGGGAAACCACCCAGCCCCACACCCTGGAGCGGGGCCAAGACGGTGAGGATCATTCCCAGGCTGGGAGAAAGGAAGGGTAGTGTTCAGCCACAGGCGACCACCCACAGTCATCATCGATATGATTCCGTTGTCCTGGGTGGGACCAGATTGTAGAGGGAGCTCTAAGAGTGACTCCGGAAGCAGGGTGTTTGGGGCCCTGGGCCTGGTGAGAAAGGTTTTAGTGGCCACAGCCTGTTGTTTTAAGATTCGGACCTAGGATGCTGCTCAGTTAGTAGACGGTACGGGGTTAAAGCTAACCTCGGTTACCTCGGTTACAGAATGAGTTTGAGGCTAGCCTGGGCTATATGAGATCTTGTGTCCAAAAGGAAAAAGAAGAAAACACCCTTTCCTCAAACTGCCAGCCTGTCCTAGAGTGTGTCTGAGGATGCTTGCTGGGCTGCTCCGCGCCTCAGGCTTCCCCTTGTGTCAGAAGGAGGCTCTGTCCTCAGATTCAGGACCTCATGGACCTTGGGGGACTGGAATGGGGTTGCCTGACCCCTTTCCGGCCTCTCTTGTCACCAGAAGTCCACCACTCGAGAATGCAGCAATCACCAGAGACACCTGGCCAGTTCTGGGGGCTGGGTCCCCATGAAGGGTGAGCCTGGGGTCCCACGTTTGTCCCTCCTTTCCCCTCCCCCAGCATCCCCGAAGCCCCTGGGGTGATAACAAGGGCAGTTCATTGGCTCCTGTACCCCCCTGCCCACCACACACCCACTTCTGCTTCTACAGAGTACAGCTCCGAGTACCAGGGAGCTGACATGGCTGAAATAGACGCTCGCCTGAAGGCTTTGCAAGAATACATGAACAGGCTGGACACGCGGTCATGACCCTGGCTTCCCATTGTACCGTCGGTGGGGCTGGTGTGGAGGCGGTGCCCCCTCTCACGCACCACACCTCTAGGTGCCCCTGGAGCCTCAGGTGTGTGGGCCCCGGCTCTCCCCTCTCTCCCAGCAATGCATTCTAGGAGAAGAGGGTATGTGTATTTTGTAAATAAATACGGTTGCTCTTGGCCCCTTAGCTTACGATTGAAGGGCAGGAATGGGGTGGGAAGCAATGAGGGTGGGCAGATAACGAGGACCAGAAAGTGTGTCTGTCCTGCCTGTGACCTGGACGCAGGTGGGCACTAGTGAGCTGCGTGTCTCCAGAGGCGTGCAAGCAAAGTGGCCGTGTCTGGCCGGACGGCAGGGGAGTGGTCTCTTGCAGCATGGTGCCTCCCCATTGGCTCTTCTGAGCTGCTGTGGGTGACACAGGGCCTGCTTGGTATTGATCCCTGGGCTCTCACCTGAGATCTCTAGGTTCTAAGCTGTGCCGTCACTTCTGAGCCAGGGTCTCTGGGGTCTTGGTGCCTTCAGCCTTGGGCCTTTGGGTTCTGCTTACCAGTGAGTGTGGAGGGGCGGGAGCGGGAGACAAAGAAGGGGTCGGGCGGCGCACACAGGAGCGTGGTCTGCTATCTCTTTATTGGTGGGGTCACTGGGAGGACAGATGGTGTGGGGATGGAGCACGTGGCGGGAAGGGGTTCAGGCTGGTGGCTACACAGGGCCTCACTCGCGGTAGTTTTGCCAGCGCTGGATGACTTCGTAGAGCTGGTCTCCTGGAGAGAGCGTGTTCTGCACATCCCGGTGTCCTTTGACTTCGTAGTTGGATCTCAGGAAGCCCCGAGCCACCCCACATTCCAGAAGGTTCAAGGCGGCACGGAAGGCCCGCTTTGGGGGTACCCGCTCTGCAAGGGGGAGGGGCAAGATACAGAAAGTTAGACTGGGGTGTGTTTGCAGGGCAGAGAGGTGAGGGATGTTGGTTAAGTGCCCTCTGCCTCAGTTCCCTCATTCATGGGAAGACTGGGGTGTGTTTGCAGGGCAGAGAGGTGAGGGATGTTGGTTAAGTGCCCTCTGCCTCAGTTCCCTCATTCATGGGAAGAAAATCAGGCACCGACCTGTAGGGCGGTAGGAGATAAAATAGTTAACTTCCATTAACCCTTGAAGGAGAGCAGAGCACAGAGTAGACCTTTAGCAAGCTTGCACTGCCTGTCTGTTGTTGCCCGGCCCTGACCCTCCTCTACTCCCAGGGCCCAGGGTCCGGCCCACACAAATAGCTGTCATCCATGAAACACGTCTTAAAAGTTAACTGGTTGGTTGGAGATGGTTCCTGTGGCAGGCTGGCCTGGAACTGGGCATTCGTAGCTGAGAAGGATCAGCTTGAACTGATTTTACCCCACGCTGGGCTTAAGGTCTTCACCCATGCTGTCTGTGTGGCGCCCGAGGTTTGAGCCCAGGGCCTTGTTCCTGCTAGGCAGGTTCTCCAGCGAGCGCAGCCACAGCCCTGTTTCAGTTTTCTGAGGCGGGAGCTCACTACATCGTCCAGGCTTTTGCTCCCCCCTGAGGAATGCTGGGATTATAGCTGTATACTGCCACGCTGGCCTCCCCCATCCTTAATTTAGTATTGATCAGCTACGTCCGGAGAGAAAATCGAGGTCAGGAGCGTATAGGTCCCCCTTCTCCCCACACCATCCCCAGCCCAGGACGCTGCGTGCTCACCCATGTAGTTGCCCATGAAGGTGATGCCGATAGATATGGGGTTCCAGGTGGGTCCTGTGTGGTCACCCTTGATGTTCCAGCCTCGGCCTTCATACACGTGGCCGTCCTCTCCAATGAGGAAGCTGCGGAGGAGGGACAGAGCTTGGTAAGGGTAGGAGGGGCTTCCTTTGACATCCTTCACTCATTTTCTAGAATACGAAGGCAGCCACACCCGTTTATGGCACCCCTGTTCCTTGCCAAGCACAGCTCTGCAAACCCTTTTTTCCTCATCTGAGTTGCCACCCCCAGTTTCTACAGAATCAGAGAGGTAGGGTCAGCATCCAGGGTGGCCCAGAAATCTCACTGCTACCCACACTGCAAAGACAATTGTGGGTAAGGTTGGAACCAAGCCTGTGAACTCACCTCCTCCCTGTCGAGCCCCTGAGGTGGGTACTGCTGTCTTCTCACAACCTAAGCTGACAACAAGGGACCCAGGAAGCCGCTTATTTGCACAAAGTCCCAACCTCAGAAACCCAGTCCCTCAGAAGCCTGCTCTTTGCCAAGCTTGGCAACTCGGCTCTCTCTGTTGCCCTCTGACCTCCACACCAAGTCGTGCCATGTGCCTGCCCCAGCCAAATAAATATAAATAAATAAATAAATAAATAAATAAATAAATAAATAAAAGGAGAGTTTTCAGAGAGGTTTGTTCTTGGTACAGCCAGCCTTGGCTCTTGGGGTCCTCAGGCATCAGTTTGAGGGAGGCTACATCTCCTCCTTTGGAGGTTTCCAACGTTAGCACAGTAGATCTGTGAATTTCACAGTGGAGGTTCCCCCCCCCCCCCAGGGCGCCTTGCAGTTAGGTCAGCAGCCTGGAGTTGCTGATGAAGCAGAGGATGCTGGGACTTGGAATCCCAGCCCCTGTCTGCCACCTAGGAAGCCAGCTCAGAGGAGACAGGGACCCGGGGACCCAGGGTCAGGCTCAATCAGCTCAGTGTCCCTGCAAGGATTCCCAGTGGAAGAGTAGGGGACATTTCGGTGTGTCCTCGGCAGGACAAAAGCCCTGTCACTTTAGGGAGACACCAGATCCACCAGCAGCAAGGGTAGAGGTGAGCCATTGTCTGATGCCTGCATCTGCTTCACCTTGGGACGCTCTGTCCACATCTGCAGCACCGGCCCAGGGTGGCCCAGGGTGGATGCGCTGTGGTTTTATAGGGATGCCTGTAAACCTCAGCCACCATCATGATGGGCGTGGTCAAGAGCAGGCTCAGTGGTTAACGGTTCGATTCCCAGGACCCACATGGTGGCTCACAGCCTGTAACCAAACTTCCAGGGGATCCAGTGCCCTCTTCTGACCTGTGAGGGCTCTTGCACACACGTGGTGCTCAGGTGCATGTGTGCGCGCACACAAACCCCAAAACAAAACAAACTAAACCTCCATTTACGGACATAGGAAGTGAGGCTCATAGAATGCTTTCTGCCTTTGTCTGATACTGTGGAACCCGGGCAGCAGCTTGGTTGTTGGAGCCTTACAATGATTAAAATCTCAAGCATCTGACCATCTAGTGTTTGGCAGAGCAGTGGGGGATGGGGTGGGGGTGGGGGGCAGGGAACTAGTATTTCCAGTAAATTCTGCAGGTGATTTGGCTCCTAGCCTAGCCTTAGGAGTTACAGGAAACAGGCCCAGGTATGGCAGCCTGAAACACCGAAACCGGTGTGACAAATAGGTGTGTCCTCCAGGGGCCCAGCTCCCCAAGTCTCTCAGTCACATAAAAGCCATGAAGCCGTCCCTCCCCTGGGGATCTGGCTTCTGTCACCTTTGCCTACCCTACCCCCACCCCTTTTCAGAGATGGGATCTTGCTATGTTGCCCAGGCTGGGCTTGAACTCACAGTAATCCTTTTAGCTTCCCTAGTTCTGGGATTACAGGCATCTCCACCATGCCTACTGCAGACAGCCTTTTCCTGTTAAAGGTGTGTGTGTGTGTGTGTGTGTATGTGAGTGTATTTGTGTGTGTATTGAGTGTGTATATGTGTGTATGTATGTGTGTTTGAGTGTATGAGTTTGTGTGAGTGTGTGTATGTGTGTGAGTGTATATGTGTGTGTATGTGTGTGTGAGTGTGTATGTATGTTTATGTGAGTGTGTGTATGTGTGTGTGAGTGTATTTGTGTGTATGTGAGTGTGTGTATATGTGTGTGAGTGTATGAGTGTGTGTGAGTGTATGTGTGTATGAGTGTGTGAGTGTATTTGTGTGTATGTGAGTGTGTGTATATGTGTGTGTTTGAGTGTATGAGTTTATGTGTGTGTGAGTGTGTGTGTGTGTGTGTGTGTGTGTGTGATGCATGTTAGGCACTAGAACAATCATTAGTCTATCAATAATCAGTTCTACTCGGGTTAGGCTTGCAGGCAAGCACCTTTCCTTGCTGAGCCATCTGGAAGCCCTCTTTCTGTGGATTCTATTTCCACCCTGATCCCATCTTTTTCTGCCTTTCTGTGTGTGTACACAGGGTTATAATGATATGCTTCTAGCAGTGACCCCATCTGGAACTCTGGCACACAGAAGACATTTGCCTGTAGATTTGGGGCCATATGTTTGCCAGTTTCCCCCGTGTTTGGCATTAGGGGTCACTGTTTCCCTGTGGGGCCCCGCCCCCTGCCTTGGGTCTCAGGCAGCACTGATGCCCACTGATGCCCGAGCTAGGTGCAAGGCTCAGTCAGCCCGGCGTTTACCTGTCAAGGTCTGGGCCGCTAGGAAAGAATTTCCTTATGAGAGTATAGGGGGAACACCTTGGTGTGTGTGAAGCAAAGCCTGCCTCCCCCCCTCCACACACACAGGGAGGAAAGTCCCAGCACCCAAGGGAGACACGGGATCCAGCACCAGGAGGGTTGGAACGGTGTGGTTGACTTCTTCCCGCCCGCTCCATACTCACTTGTAGCCCACGTCGCACCAGCCCAGTGAGCTCATGTGGTAATGCTGAACATTGCGGGCCTGCTGTTCACAGGTGGTCGGGCTGTCGCAGGTGCTGCCCGCCGTGTGTGAGATTATCACATAGCGGATTGGGTGCTGCAGGCGCTGGGAGCACTCAGCCGGCCGGGCCTTCCACTCGCTGCGGGGCACGATGAAATTGCAGGAGGCTCCCAGGCCCAGGAGGGCAAGGAGGGTCCAGGCAAGCAACGTGTTGGACATGGAGGACATGGCTCACAGGGCTGAGTGTGAGTCAGACCCTGGTGGCCCTTTTATCTTCTGGGGCAGGGTGGTGGCGTGAAGGGCTTGCCTCACATCTGGGCGGGACCTTCCGGACTTGGCATAGAGGACCCTAGACTCAGCTTCCTCTTTTGACAAGGGTGGGACAGGGACATGGCCTTAGTTCAGCGTGTGGGATAGGTAGGGAGGCAGAAGCTTCCTCATCGGGAAGGGCACAGAAGATTCCGGCGTCTGTCTTTGTGATTCTCTGGAGTTTCCAAGGCTTGGAACTCTGCCCAGCCTTGAGTCTTCTCAGGGAAGGCTTTGTGTAACCTTCCAGGAAGTTGCATAGGTGAAGGGCCCAGGGCTTTGGCACAGGCTTCCTTCCTTCAGGCGGAGCCCAACAACGGTACCTTTAACGGTACTATGTGTTTACATTTGCCGGAGTCTCACGTAACTTGAACTCACTATTTATCCAAAGGTGACCTTGAACTGAGATGACAGGTGATGCAGCACTGTGCCTGGCTGCACATCCCCTCGGTCCAGGTCTGAAGATGCTCAGTCCTACAGGGCAGGAGGCTAAGTATGTGGAAGCCCCTTCCACAGCGGAGGGGAATGGGCTGGCTCAGAGTGGACGCTGCTGCCTGGGAAAGGCAGGCAGTAGTGTTCACAGCCTGAGTCAGAATAGTCAGAGTCAGCCATTTTCTACTGTGTGAGTCCACGCCGGTGTAACCTCTCTGTACCTGTTTCTCCAACTCCAATATGGAGATGGCTTCAGACCCCCCGAGTTGATCAGGAATTGCATGAACGGACCCCATGTTGGCCCCTGGCACATGATGTCATGTGACTCACACACTCAGGTTAGCTCCCGTCTGTGGCGTGGTTTGCATGGGTGACCATAGCAGAGGGCCAGAGTTGCTTTATTCAGGTCGCATTGAGCTTTCCCGAGGCTCCTGTCTCGCCCGGGCTCCTGTTGCCAAGCCTCTCCACCACACACGGGGAGATCAGGGCAGACCACCTCTCTTCCTGTCCTCTTTGCTTCCACTTTAAATGACTTTGGGTAGATCTCCCGTGGAGCCGCTCATTCTTCAATAAATATATGTTTTCTCTGCTCAAAAGTAAATAAATAATTAATACTTTTTGTCATGCTACAGATGGAATTCAGAACCTGTGCATGGAAGGTAAGCACTTTGCCACTGAGCCACACCCCCAGCCCCTCACTGGGGGATTCTAGGCAGGGGCTCTACCACTGAGCCACGCCCCCAGCCCCTCACTGGGGGATTCTAGGCAGGGGCTCTACCACTGAGCCACGCCCCCAGCCTCTCATATACACACACACACACACACACACACACACACACACGTTGGTGGGAAAGAGCTTGGGGTGGACCGTGCATCACGTCAATCATCCAGTATCTGCTGAGTACCTCTTATGTGTTGAGCATCATCTGGGGTGCTGGGCATAAGTGGAGAGGGGACAAGAGTGATTGGTAGATGGTGCTTCCATCCCCTGCGGCGGGGCCTCGGCAGAGTGGGCTGGTGTCCCGGAGAAAGTCTGCTTTTGTTGGACTCTCTGGTGAGGTATGCACTAGAAAGTGTAAGCAGGTCGGAGGATGCAGGGAGCCTGGACTCAGGTGAGGGGGAGGAGCACAGGGAGCTGGGGCCCTGGGTCTGTGGGGACCTGCTTGGTGGAGCTATGTGTTGGCACACTTGCTGAGCGCTGGTGAGCTGTGCCTGCTTCAGGGGCCGGCTGAAGGAAGCTAAAGGTGCCTGAAAGGCCCTTCTGTTAGCCAGGACCCTGGCCGTCTGAGAAACACCTTGAGCCCAGAAACTGAGAGAATCTGAGCCAAGTCTCCTGGGACCCAGAGACAGTGTGGTGCCAGGCCCACAGCATGTACGTCATGAGAGACTTCCTCATTCACGGGGACCAAGGACTCGACTCCAAGCGTGCTTCTGAGGAGGGTTTATGGATGTTCTTTGTTTGAGATAGAATATTACTGAGTAGCCCTAGGTGGCCTGGACATCTCACTGCATAAACTATAGTGACCTTGAACTCACAGATATCCACTTGCCTCTGCCTCCCAAGGGCTGGCGTTAAAGGGCTGTGCCTCACGGTTCTGTTATTTGTTTTTATCTCAGGCAGCCCAGCCTGATTGTATATTTGCTGGCTGGCTGAGGCTGACCCTGAACTCCTGATCTTTCTGCTTCTGAGAGAGAGAGAGGAGAGAGAAGAGGGAGGGAGAGAGAGAGGAAGGGAGGGAGACAAAGGGGGGAAGCAGAAGGAAATCCAGGACAGTGTCTACTGACAGAAGGTAAGGGAAGTATAAGGGAAGTAAACATTTCGAGAAGGAAGGAGTCATCTATGTCATAAATGTTCCAGTCCCAAGGTCATCCTGGTAATAAGTGGAAGGGTAGAAATTTAAAACCAGATCACGCTATGTTATAAATGATGCCCAGGCCAAGGGCCAGCCATTCAGACACAGCTGAACTAAGCTCATACCATGCAACTGATAATTTGTGATGGGTTCTGAAGGTCAAACACAAAATTATGACACACACAAGTTCACAGCAGACATCTGAAGAAAATTTAATTAACACGATGTTTCCTTGGGAGACAGGGGTCTCATTATATAGCCCTGACTGGCCTGGGACTGGCTATGTAGACCAGGCTGGTTTCAAAATAACTAATTAATCAATCAATGAAAACCCTCTTTTGGAAACAGGATGTCTCTCTATAGGCCTGGCTGTCCTAGAACTCCCTATGTAGACAAGCTGACCTTGAACTCACAGAGATCTGTCTCTGCCTCCTAAGTATTGGGATTAAAGGCCTATGCACCACTACACCTGGCAATTAAAAAATATTTTTTTTTTGATTATGTGGTTGGGCAATAGAGGCGCACACCTTTAATCCCAGCACTCGGGAGGCAGAGGCAGGTAGATTTCTGTGAGTTCGAGGCCAGCCTGATCTACAAAGTGAGTTCCAGGACAGACAGGGCTACATAGGGAAACCCTGTCTCAAAACAAAACAAAACAAAACAAAAACAAAAAACAAGACGAAACAAAAATAAACAAAAGCAAAAACCCCAAGACCAACCAAACAAAAACCAAAAACCCACCCAAAGAATGCTTTGCATTCAATATGTACTTTCTTAGCTAACACGCCTCTTCCTTAGCGTCTTTATAAATGCTCCCGTGGCCAGGCAGTGCACACATGTAACCCCAGGTGCTCGTGGTGCACAGGTATGTGAAGCTGAGTGTGAAGGGTCATGAGGTCAAGGATAGCCTGGGAAAACAGGAAGACCTGCCTGAGACAGGGGAGAGGATTGGAGTTCAGTCTTCGTACCTGCACAGCAGCCTCTTACCAGCTGGGCTGCTTCTCCGCGCCCCCCACTTCTCCCTTTTTCTCTTTTCCTTCTTTCCTTCCCATATTCCTCTACATTATCCTGCCTCTGGGGCGTGGCTCAGTGGAGAGCCCCTGCCTAGAATCCCCCAGTGAGGGGCTGGGGGCGTGACTCAGTGGTAAAGCCCCTGCCTAGAATCCCCCAGTGAGGGGCTGGGGGCATGACTCAGTGGTAGAGCCCCTGCCTAGAATCCCCCAGTGAGGGGCTGGGGCGTGGCTCGGTGGTAGAGCCCCTGCCTAGAATCCCCCAGTGAGGGGCTGGGGCGTGGCTCAGTGGTAGAGCCCCTGCCTAGAATTCCCCAGTGAGGGGTTGGGGGTGTGGCTCAGTGGTAGAGCCCCTGCCTAGAATCCCCCAGTGAGGGGTTGGGGGTGTGGCTCAGTGGTACATTAGACCCAGAAGCGCACGGACCAGGTGATGTAGTGTATTCCTGCAATCACAAACCCAGGGGAGGCTCCCAAGTTCAAAATCATCTCTGGCTGTGTAGGGAGTTTGAGGCTCATCTAGGCTGACTCCAACAAAAACACACAATGGAGTTCTTCTTCCACAAACCACAGCTCTCTCTCAGGAGTTGGCCCAGGAGGAGGGGAGGGGAAATGCTCATCTTGGCATCAGGACTTGCCCAACACCTGAGGGGAACTTACATGATAATCAGTAAGCTTTCCTTCCTCTGTCGGGAGAAGGAACTCTGCCCCTGCCACACAGGTTCCCAGCCAGGGTGTTTCTACCCATCACCCTTAATAACTCAGTCAACCTCTGTTTAAAGGTTTTTTTAAATTTAAATTTTTATTTATTTATTTATGATGCTCCATGTTGCAAGGGTGAAAGTCCTTGTCGGGGTGAAGAATTCTTGGACATGCCAGAAATTCTGCCCAGTTGGGGGATGGCTCAATAGTTAAGAGCACTTGTTTTTGCACAGGACCCAGGTTCGGTTCCAGGCACCCACATGGCAGTGCACAGCCAGCCACCTGTAAGTTCCAGGGGATCTGCTGTCCTCTCCTTATCTTCGCGGCACCAGGCATGTGCCTATGTGGGGCACCAACGCCCTGCCCTGGCAGGCAGAACACTCACACACTTTAAGACAAATAAGCACCATACGTTTCTTCAGTGCAGGAGTTTGGAGGCATTGGATGAAGCTGCCAGGGGTCCCTAATTCACAGCCTACATGTCTCCCGTTCCAATCCCCATCCCTCCTGTCTTACCGTGGGGGCTCCTGGGTACTCCGCTCGTCACCCACCACTGTCCTCATACCCCTAGTTCACCTGGCCCCCTTGCGCAGGTTCAGGAAGGAGGCTAGCTGCTGACTGAATCGGGAACTTCTTCACACTGGGCCTTAGGGTCCTGGGTCTGATCCAAAATTCAGGGCAGACATGTTTCCTGGCTCCTAAGAGAATCCTTACTTTGTGGGGGGGGGGAGACTCAGGTTTGAGCTAAAAAGACAGTGTTGATGTTAATAACATCCGGTATACTGAGCGCCTACCATGTGCTGCACCCTCCTATCGGAGGAACAAGGGCCGTGAGCAAGAGAGGTCTCTGTCTTCACGATCCTGGTGGGTGAGACAAGAAGTACAAAACAAACAAACAAACAAACAAACAAACAAAAAACAGTAACTACCGCGTTTATTTAAA